CCAGAAATTTAAAGCAAATTTTAACCTCTAGCTATATTGATGGTGAAGAAACATGAACATGTATAGACGATTGGTCAAAAAAACAGAAAGGCTTTTTTCATTGTGGAAATTGCAATGCATGTAAAAATACGGGTATTAGTAGAAAGAAGAAAGAAGTCTTTCTATCTTCTGTAACTAAGAAACAATATTCAGTATGTTCTTTTATCTCATGTGAGTCGAAAAATGTTATTTATCTCCTACAATGTAAATGCGGCTTACAGTATATAGGTAAAACTTCTAGATCGTTAAAAATTCGTGTAAATGAACATATTAGAAACATTAAGAAGGGTTTTCCCAATCATAGTGTATCTAAGCATTTTTAGAGGTACACCAATCGAATCCAAAAGAACTAGATTTTATGGCTATTCAAAAAGTTTCAAATAGTCGGAGAGGAGGCAATAATGCCTTAAATTTAAGTAAAAAAGAAAGCTCGTGGATTTTTGATTTACAAACTTTATATCCAAGGGGATTAAATTTGGATTTTGATATAGGGCCTATTATATAATTTGGTGTTTAAACAAAACATTTTTATACAAAATATTTTATATGTATTTATATTTCTTTTTATTTATGTATTTTACTTGATATATATATTGTTTATATTATTGACGAAGTTTTTTATTTAAATATTATGCTCTCTCTTCTTCTCTCTATGTTTTTGGTGAGTTTGAATTTGCACTCTTTATGGACTCATTACAGCCTTACAGCATAAGGCTTGTCCTACTTTGTTTCATGTTAAAAACCGGAAGTGACGTTTTGCCCAAAATGATACCGGAAGGCTCCGATTGTAAACATAGGAAAACGGAAACGACGCAACCGGAAATGACGTATCGGCGCTTAGACCGGAAGTCACGTGACCGGCAATTACGTGAGTCACGTGAACGGCAGCTACGTGAACGTCAGGATAGCACATCCATTGAAAGAAGGACAAAATGTAGAGACTGTGGGCTACTAGAATGCCAGATTGGGAGGGGAAAATAACCCAGAAATCCCATATATGGTTTTAAGGGGTGGATCTTGTATTTAACTTACATGTGTATGTAATGTATCAATTATATGTGTAATATAAAAGTGATTCACTGTGACACATTGTTATTGCATCTGAGGAAGACCAAGGAAATGGTCAAAACGCGTTATGCTTGTTTTTAGAATATTTTTTCTGTAATAAAATATTTTACATTTATTCCTGGTTCCTGATTGTATCCAGACAATTTTTTAAATCCGGTCCTGGTACGACCAGTCCGTATACTGAGACATTCTACAGGGTTTTACGAGTAGAGAGCCGACTTATTTGGCTCTCTGAAGTGTGAGTGTTCCAAGTTACTATATATTATATATAGTGTTTTCTACATACTGTCCTATGATAGTTATTTATATTGCAGATTGTAACATTTTCCAACGTGTGCGCAAAACCCCCTTATGTTAATCTAGCGCTGCAAGAAGTGGTGGAACAGGCCATGGCTGGTTGTGGTGGGGTCCCCCGCTGATTTTAGATGTAAAACATTGGAAAGATATGATTTTTATGACGAGGGGGGAGGTGAGAGGAAGTGGTGATTAGGAACCACTGTATGTTTATTGGCAAGGATGGTTGGGTCACTGTATAACACTGGAGTTATATATGTATATATGTTAATTTATGCTTATTTATATCTAACGTTTTTGGTTACAGAAAAAAGAAGAGATTTAATAAATAAGTTATGGATGTGTTATGCAGTAATTTAGTTAGTGATAATAAATGCTGTGGCCTGTTTCATCCATACTAAGTGGTCTGTCGTTATTGGGGGGTTGAATGGGGTTAGTTTTTGTTCTAGGCTGCATCGCGATTCCCCACTACGTACATACATGTAAGAGGGAATTGAGAAATGAATTGCAAAATTAAGCCCATAATAGGGTTTAAAGTATAGCTTACTGGGATAATTTGTCCAACTATATATTATTATATCTGGATATTTTTCCGTGTGGGTAATTTTTCATGTGGGCATTTCTCAGTGTGAGAAATTTTCCAGTGGGGTTTTTTCTGTTAGTAATTGTCATGTGAACTACTGTTTTTGTAACAGGCATAAGGAAGCAAAGAATACAAGGGACCATACAAACATAGAAACAATACAGAAAAGTCATAAAAAGTTTTATGGCAATGTTTTATAGCATATGTTTCATAGAGGGCTGGTCAGAATATAGACAACGTATTTCCAATATCTTTGCAGATTTAAAAAGACAAGCTGCAAAAAGACATGTCATGATTCCCTTTTATTCCAGTAATTTGGTCCTTAAGAGGTTAAATAATTTATTTAAGTAAGTAGTACTAGTTAAATATTACTAATATTTGGAATTAAGTCCACACATCATATTGCAGGTGTTTTTGTTTTTTTAACATTGGCACTAATAGTTCTAATTCTCCTCAGATTGAGCAACGGCCAAATGTCTGGTTCCACAGTAAAATCAGTTTTGGGATGAAGTAGATGGGGACATTTTGTGTAAAGTCAGGTGAGAATTTATGCTTAGTAGAATGGGATCTCACACAGAATTCTATTTTATCATTTGCCTATTTATTTGACATTTCAAGAGACATTATAGTCACCAAAACAACTTCAGCCTAATGAAGCAGTTTTGGTGTATAGATCATGCCCCCGCAGTCTCACTGCTCAATTCTCTGCCATTTAAGAGTTAAATCACTTTGTTTATGAACCCTAGTCACACCTTCCTGTATGTGACTTGCACAGCCTTCCATAAACACTTCCTGTAAAGAGTCATCTACAGTTTATCCTTCCTTTATTGCAAGTTCTGTTAAATTTAGATTTTCTTATCCCCTGCTATGTTAATAGCTTGCTAGACCCTGCAAGAGCCTCTTGTATGTGAATAAAGTTCTATTTACAGAGAAAGAGATACAATTGTTTAAGGTAAATAACATCTGATTAAAAATGAAACCAGTTCTTTTCATGCAGGCTCTGTCAATCAGAGCCAGGGGAGGTGTGACAAGGGCTGTATAAACAGAAACAAAGTTATTTAACTCTTAAATGGCAGAGAATTGAGCAGTGAAACTTGAGAAGCATGATCTACACACAAAAACTGCTTAATTAAAGAAGCACTATAGGGTCAGGAATACAAACATGTATAGGAGTGGCCAGTGAAGTTATCACTAGGCTGTAATGTAAACACTGCATTTTCTCTGAAAAGACAGTGTTTACAGCAAAAAGCCTGAAGGTAATGATTCTACTCACAATATATATATACTTTTTTCATTGGATCCACCAGATGATGAATTGCCTATTACTGTTTGTGTACCAATGAGGTTATTCTAATGAATTTAGAGGTTTCAGATCAACTTTTTGTATATAAATAAAAAATCTTGTACATAGATCAATTTCTTGCATATTTATCATCATATAGGAAATTATACAGTTCCTTTTACTAACCCCTTCTACACAATGGCAATATAAATTTTTTGATTAAATTATTCTTTGCATCAATTGAGTGCTGTGGTTTTTTTAATTATTTTTCCTATATATTTCCGAGGTTATATAAGAGGGTGACTTTTTTTTTAAACTTTCAATCAGATGTAACTTACTTTGTTTGTATCTCCAGCTCTGTAAATTGAACTTTAATGACATACAGGAGGCTCCTGCAGGGACTAGCAAGCTATTAACAGAGCAGGAGATACAACATTCTAAATTAAACATAATTTGCAATAAAGGAAGTATAAACATTAGATGACTCTTCACAGGAAGTGTTTAGGACGGGTGTGTAAGTTACATGCAGGGAGGTGTGACTAGTGCTGTATGGTCAGAAACAAAAAAGTGATCTACCTCCTAAATGGCAGAAAATTGAGCAATGAGACTGAGGGGGCATGATCTATACCCCAAAACTGCTTCATTATGCTAAAGTTGTTTTGATGATTATAGTGTCCCGTTAATATCTGCACTGCAACCACTTTTTCAAGGCATGGATTAGTCGAGGGCTAATTGTTTAATATTCAAGAAATAATTTTTACTTAGTATGAGTTTATTCTTTAAGTGACATGAAGTAGTCATATACTCACATGTATATGTGGTTACAAAAGCAAACAACGTCTACAAATGGTTTTCATTATGTCTCCATCTATAATGGACACAAAGTGGTTTCATTAGAAGAAATTCAGACAGGACCATCCTTGAGTCTTGCTATCTGATTGTGAAATGTCCACTGTCTCTAATTTAACGCCTTTCCTTGTGTAATAATACATGTTTTGAAACAAGTAAAATCTACTTGGCCTTAAAAACAGGTTTTGCTTGAAATAAGTGAAGCAAACCATAACAATATAGCAAAAACAGCACGGGATAGAGCAATCATTTGTTAAGAGATTACATTTTAAAGTGGTAATGTGCAATTCTTAACACCAGTAAACTCCAAACACCTGTAAAATCCTGTAGGATTCTAACTGTATCAGTTGTACCTACAGCATTCACAAGACAAACTAAAGTAAAGAGAGAAATATGAGGGGGCTAGTAGTGAGCAAGATTCCGATAGAAAAACAACAATCTGATCGTCTTTAAAGAAGTATAATCCGTGGATACAGAAACTCCATAAAATCTAGGAGACCTGTGTGATCCCTTTCAAAAGGCATGGAGTAGTCTTCATGTAAGGTCAGGTGAGAATTCTATTTCATCGTTAGTTCATTTAACATAATACAAAGATTGTCAATGGACAGCACAGGGCAGACTTACAATGATTTTATATTTACATATATTCATATATAAGAGATCACACATTTAAAAACACATGCTTTAAAAACTTTCTTCTAGTGAGTTCTATGAGGTAAGTATTACAATTAATTGGAATTTAGTCAATACATCATGTTACAGATTTTCAGACATTGAGTTTAATAGTTCTTCCATTTCTCCTCAGATTATGTAAAAAGCGTTTTATACTCCAGAACATTCCGCTCTGCGATCGGTTTCATAAGGCATGGAGTAATTGGGGTTTCCTGTATGACGTCAGGTGAGAAATTGTACTTAGAGTGCGAGTTTATTCCATTAGTGAAATAGTCTCTGCGTCTTTACATGCATATGTAGTTACTGAAGTAAACACCGTCTACATGGGTTTTTCATTATGTCTCTCTCTATAATGGACACTAAACAGTCTCAGAAGTTAGAGTTGTGAGGATTTTCAGACTCATCCTTGAGTCTTGCTGCCTCTGATTGTGTAATTGTATTTGTCATGTGATATTACCACCTTTCCTTATATAATAATATACTTTGCATAAAATAAGTGACGTAAACCAAAGGGCACTTTATATACAGAAAACAGCATGAAATATAACAATATTATGTTATAGGACCACTACACAACTATCTAAAGCACTTCAGCTGGAATATCCAGTTTATAAAAATGGCGATTTCATTGAGAAATCAGCACTTTTATGAGTCTAGTTTGAAACGCCTCCCTGGCTGTCAATCAAACAGCTGAGGAGATTTGCTTCATTTCCGTTAGCTCCATTGGGATAATTTAAGTTGCAGACGGGCTCTACTTGAGCGTGCCTGCCTTCTCCCACTCAGACCTCAAACCAGTGTCTTCCGCTCATCCTGCTCCTTCACCGACCTCAGACCAGCCTGCGCTCACAGATTTAGAGGTTTCTCAAGGAGAAGCCTCTGATTGGCTATTCCTCTGTGAAGAGTCTGGAAGTCTCTTTCAGGGAAAAAGACAAGGGCTTGCAAAGACCGTAGTTCGTAAGAATGTTTAGTGTGAAATGGTCCTTTAAGAAATTAAACTTCAAAGTGTCAATGCAGTGTTGTTATAGTCGTAAACACAAACAACTCTAAAAAAAGTTAAGAATTCTAACTATCGAGTGCATTTACAGCAATCACGTGATGAGACTCAAGAAAACCAAGAAACACGAGGAGGCTGCACAAGCTTTCTCCAGAAAAACACCAATCTGGTCATCTTTAAGGAATTTATGAGCACAGAAAAACCCACAGTTCGAGAGAAGAATTTCACAAAAATAAGAAATTTGCCTTCACAGAGAATTGAATTCAATGCAAAAAGTTTTTTTTGTTTTTTTTACAGTTATTTCTCTGGCAATTACATCATTAAATAAATTACTGAAAATCACCACTAACTTATATTAATTTTTTATTTTATGCGATGCACTATAGAAAATGTCATACCATTTTCCTTTAAATTGATATTAAATAATTTACAGGGGCGGGGCTTAGCACAGCTACAGCTCAGACATCATTTTCTACAGCTCCGTGCACAAATCGCCTAAAACACAGAAAAACGATGAAAATACTGACTGACCACAAACCAAAAGTGCTTGCCGCAGGTGGGGGAACTCCCGTTGAACCCGCTCATGCCCTTTCAATTCGGGTTGCCCACATCCCGCAAAACCCGGCAGAAACTTAGGCCTGAAAGCCTGAGGGCCACAACCAACACGACAAGCTCCTCGCTGACTGGTAGTCACGCCAGTATCCCTATCGGAGGGACCCAGATACTGCAGCCATCGGTCGGAAGACGCAGAAACCGACCCCAGCGCCACCACAATAGGCAAGAAATATCGAGCACTTCTCAAATACTCGAGGTCCAGACCGGCAGAGCACTCAGCTCCCCCAGCTCACTCAGGCAACAGAGAGGCCCCTGAGAATGAAGAGGGGAGCGGGAGGGACAGCACGCAACCTGTTGCAGCAGCCACCACAAGTGAGTCCCACACCCTGACACTAAACAGGACATATCTGACCTCTTTGATAGAATCAGGCTGCTGTTTGACGCAGACATTGCCCTGGTAAAAACTGAGGTCCAAGCTGTCACAGACCGCGTACAAGCCACTGAGGACGATGTGATTGACCTCAAGCAAGACCTGGCGGCCCTGGGGGACACTGTGCAACAAATGCAAACCTTACATTTCTTCCTGACACACAGAGTTGACACCCTGGATGACAGGAGCAGGCGCAAATACATAAAAATCCGCGGAGTCTCCGATGCAGTATGCACAGAGGAGTTACCGCACTTCCTAAGGCAGTCCTGCTGCTCACGCTGCATGGGCCCTACTGGGTCAACAGACCCCCACACACCCCACCAAGCCCGCCCAGGGACATTATTCTCAAATGTCAAACCCTCACGGACAAGCAAAGGCTAATGAAAGCTTTCCAAGACAAGGCCCCTATTGACTTTGAAACATACCATCTTACTTTCTTACAAGAAGCTGGAGTGGCATATCGTTCGTCTACATCCTGTACTTTGATGGTTCTCAAAGAAGGGAAGATGTATACGGCAACATGTCCATCAGATGCCCCTGCTTTCCTTGCAGCACTACCCCCCCCTACCCCCAGTGCCCATATAGGTTAGGGGTACACAAGAACAGCAGAGGCACCGAACATTGCCCACCATTATCCACTGTGCCCATGAGGCACATATTCACTGACTTACCTGCCTCATATCATGCTGCGCAGCCCCCACGCTGGGCGGTTAAATAGCAACAATCTAAGCATGACTGCTGACCTCTGGTATAATATCAGCAGGAATCTATGAGTGGTAACCTTGCATGGAAATGTTAGACAGGCTCTATGCTGACTAAACTTTTAACTCTCTGACAAGGTAAACTCCATTGAGACGTAGACCGATAACAAAATCAGAGTACAACCAATCACACATGTATATGAGCCATGTTTACCTCGCTATTATGTTGTCTGACCCAACTTTTCTGTACCTCGTACTGTATGATGTTTCAACCTCTCAATAAAAGGAAGAATTGAAAAAAAAAAAATGAATAATTTACAGGCTTATTCACTAACTTGAGAATGGATGGAAATCCAAAGTGAATTCAATGTGAATTTCAGATTTAGGTCCAACTAATTGGAAGTATAACTTGAAGAATTTTTCCAGTTTGGTTATTTGACTTTGAATTTGAAATTCACTTTAAATTCCTGACATTTCTCACTTTGGTGTATAACTCTTGTAATTGACATCACAGCCAGCGAGACATTTTTCAGTTCTAAATTACATTTTAGTTACATAACTTGTGTTTAGTAAGTCACCTAAAATCTCTCACAATAGCCCCATCCCAAGCAAAAATTTAGGTGTGGGTCTTTGGCCATTCGAAATGCTGGGAGCTTTACTGATGTGGAGAATTTGTACAATTTGGCTAATTTGGCCTAAACACTTTCCCCACAATTCACAATTTATATTTCAAACATAAATATTTCCTAGAAGCTCTATTATCTTAATATATAGTTGTAACACATTGCTCTCTGGCTTATGCTTCCTTATTATCCCAAGCAGCACAGAGGGGATAGGTTACTGTGGACTCTCGTTTTTTCATTAAAACATTAAAAATGGCTTAACACTGAATGGAAGGAAGATACCAGGGGACTCCAAATACTATAACCACTTCACTAAAATGCAGAATTTATAGTGCCTGCAGGGTCCTTCTTTTTTTTTCAATTCTTTATTTAGCATTGACATAATGAACTGACATGCTCAATGTAATTAACCATATAGTTGAATACAATGTGAATATAAACAATTGTTGGTTGCCGTTAGACATTATAATTGAATGACATAGAATACATATAATATCACAGAGTTGTATGTGCTTATGTCTAGCTATCTGGTCATCGATCTCTAGTCAATGTTGGTTTTTATTTTTGTAACACGAGAAAAACAAAACTATAACAGTATGTATACCTCACACCTCTGGCTCCAGACAATTTTTAGGTGCTTTCTATAATCTTTTGATTCCCCTACTCCTGCCACTTCCTAGTGTTGTTTGACACCAAAGTTGGCAGGCCTCCCATAAGTCCTTGAGTCTGGCGAAGTTCTCTGCTTGTTGCCTAGATACCTGTTAGACCCTAACCCTATGGACCCATAGACACATGGAGTCCAGGGGTTTTGGATGCGGTATCGATTTATCCCCAGAGCAGGGTAATCGGGTTTGGTTTTACTTATCAAGTATTATCAGGTTACCCCAGGAGATATGAGGAGAGAATGGAGATATACAGAAAGAGGATGAGTAGGAAACGTAAGAAGAGAAAGTGGACGAGGCCAGGGGGGGAGAGGGAGAGGGAGGGGTGGGGGAGAGGCGGACGCTCTGTCACTTTCTATGTTCCTGGGGGGCAGCTTTCCCATGGTTCCCATATTCTTTGGAAGGTCTTCTGGGTAGCCCCCACCCTGGCCAACAGGTCGTCCATTAAGTTAACTTCTTTAATTCTATTGATTACCCTGTTACAGAGGGAGCACTCTGCTTGAGCCAATCTGCTGCCACTGCTCTCCTTGCTGCTAGTGTGATTTTGTATATGAGTTTTTGCTCACTTCTGGTCCACCCGTCTATGGGTCTGCTTAGTAAGTATAGCCATGGGTCTGGATCCGGGGCCCTGGAGAAGACCTGGGTCATTATGTCTCTAATTTGTGTCCAGAATCTGCTAATAACAGGGCACGCCCACCACATATGTATATATGTCCCTTTCATCCCGCAACCCCTCCAGCACAGATTGGTAGGAGTTTTCCTTATGTAGTACAATTTGACAGGGGTGGTATACCATCAGAGCATTGTTTTTACCAATTGCTCCTGCAAGGTAACACAGACTGAAGAGGTATTATTAGCTTACCATATTTCCTGCCATTCTATTCCTTCCAATTCCTCCCGAAGATCACTCTCCATTGGGTCGTGTAAGTGAGGTTCCCCCATTCCCTGGTTTCCGAGCAGAGATGGGCATATAGGAGTGTTATTAAACCTTTGGGCATGTTTTCCTGCATACATAAGTTTTCAAAGAACGTTTTTGTTTTCCGTGCGGCTACTTGTATGTGTGGTAATTTTGCATATTCCTTGAGTTGTAAGTACCGAAAGAAGTCGGCAGGTGTAAGATGGCCCCTTTGTCCTAGGGTGTCAAATGGGACTATCTCTGTTCCCTGAAACAACTGACAAATGCGTTGTAGACCTGCTCGCTCCAGGTTCCGGAAATCCCTAGCTATCATTCATTGTATAAATTCTCTATTTCGTAGATATGGCATAAGGGGAGATGGGTCAGACGCTAAGCCATACTTTTGTTCCGTGGAATCCCATATTTGTATTGAGTTGAGTATAGTCGGGCACGTAGCTCTGACTATGGTTTAGGTATCCATATGAGGAATTGTGGCAGATCCGCTCCCATCATGAGGGATTCTAGATCAACCCACTTTCTTTCACCCGGGAGAGAATGCCACATTGCTACCTGTGTCAGTTGACTTGTGGCATAGTAGAAATATAGATTGGGCAGCCCTAGTCCACCCCTGGTTTTTGGTCAGTACAATGTGTGTCTTGAGATCCTA